ACAGAGCAGCTGCAAGACGTTGACCTTTAGCATCTCTGCAGTTTTGATCGGAAAAAGGACGTTTTCTTTAATTGCTCAGTCTGCATCGTTCCAGGCTGTGTCTCACAATGCCAGTTCCTGCTTTATTGGCTTCTCCCTATACATCCACTGCTTCTTTCTCTTTTTCTCTCAGTTAGCCTACTTGTACAATGACTTCTACAGGTTGTGTGGCTGTCTCTGATGGCCAGCGCATTCAGATCATCTAAATTTATCTCACAAAAGGATGGCATACATTTAAGGCTGGGGATTTCATCGCTCCCTTTGCCTTAAAGCGTTTTAAAGGGATAGTTCAGCCACAAATGAAAGTTCTGTCATCATTTAGGGTACTCACACTCATGTTGTTTAGAAACCTGCATGACTTCTGTGAAACACAAAAGGAGAAATGTTAAAGAATGTACTGGATGCTCTTTTGCATATAGTGAAAGTGAATGGGGACTGAGGCTATCAAGGTCAATCAGTTGAAGATGGACAGTCGGGAACTGATTAAATCAAAATCATTCTAATATGCTGATTTAGTGCTTCATTATTAGCAGCTATTATTAGTGTTCAATTATTAATAATGTTTATTATTATTATTATTATTAATGTTGAAAGAGTTTTTGCTACTGATTAATTTTTTTTTTGCAGAAACTGTGATACATTTTTTTTTTCAGGATTATTTGATGAAGAGAAAGTTCAAAAGAACAGCATTTATTTGAAATAGAAATATTTTGTAATATTATAAATGTCTTCACTGTCATTTTTAATGCATCCTTGCTGAATAAAAGTGTTGATTTATTTATTTATTTAATCCCACATACCCAAACTTTTGAATGTCAGCATGGTTTCCACATCATTAAGCAGCAAAAACAGTTTTCATCATTGCTAATGTTAAGAAATCTTTCTTGAGCAAATCAGCATATTAGAATGATTTCTGAAGGATCGTGCGACACTGAAGACTGGAGTGATGGTGCTGAAAATTCAGATTTGCATCACATGAATAAATTACATTTTAAAATATATTCAAATAGAAAACAGTTATTTTAAATTTAAATAATATTTTACAAAAGTTCTGTTTTTATGGTATTTCTAGTGAAATAAATGCAGCCTTGGTGAGCATAAGAAATTTATTTTAAAAATGTATTTATTAAAATCATAATTATTCCAAACCTTTGATGAGTAGTGTATGTCACAACAGAGAAGAAAAGAAAATTGCAACTTCACTAATAATGGAGACTTAAATTTCAGTCTGCTCATCACACAAAGCTTTTGAAAACATAGAATATAGGTCATATAGACAACCATATAAGTCATAGTTCATTTTTAACCTTGACAGCCCAGATCCCTATTAAATAGTGGCCAGTACTTCAACACTTCTCCTTTTGTATTCCAAAGAAAAACATGGTATGGTTTATGGTTCAGGGTGAAGTATAAATAATATTTAGCATTTGCCATTTTTATTCATTTTATTATCTTGATCATTCAGTTCTTCTTCAATGTTGAATATGATGTTAGCATTTGTGTGGCTATTGTTTGTGATAATTATAATAATAAACCTGTTTCCTGTCAGTTGATGTATTTTGGCACTTGTGGCTGAGAGACAGGCTTGGTCTGCACCAAAGGCTGGTAAATATAGACCCAGGATATCACGTGCTGGCGCACTAGCTGTTGCGCTTCGATTGTCACTCTTGCTCTTCTGTCCCTTTTTCTGTCTTTATTTCTGTCTCTGTCCCACAGACGTTCCTCAGGAGAGGCGTGTCCTCATACAGGCCTCTCTCGAGGCTAAAGGTGAGCTCAGTACTGCAGGAAGCATATAAACATCTATTCCACAGCCATCTTCACTCTACATGCATGCGCAGGGAACTTTGTGTGTTCTTCCGTATCATGTACTGGGTGGTGAAAATATATTTTGCAATCTCTGTTCAGCATTGGTGGATAAAAGAACCAATCTAAAAGAAGCAATCTAAAGCCTATTACTCATTTTCAATTAATTTACCGCATTTGTTTTTACTATATAGCGTGTTTTTTTTAATACTATTACTCATTTTCTTGTACTTACAGTTAAGCATTTTAACAAACCCCGAACCCTACACTGTAAAGAAAAATCTGTGACATTTACGGTAAAATACCGGCAGCTGTGGTTGCCAGATTAAACCCTAATGTACACAACTGATAAGAAAAAACTAAGAAGAAACATGTTATTTCAACAAAAAAAACATCAAATATGAAGTGTCATGTAGGGAATTCTGGGAGTGTCAATTTACAGTTTGTCACTGTAAATTATACAATGACTTTTTCTGTTTCACTTCCAAAAACCATATTTTTAACAGTATTTTACTGTAAAATTACATTAAATGTAATTACATTTATTCACCGTATATAATATGGAAACTTACTGTTAACCATTTAACAGGTTTTTACTGTAGCATTTTTACAGTCTTTTACTGTTAAAATCACAATCAACGTAAACTCGGCAAACCTGAAACGAGGATAGGTGCATGGGAACAAAATCAAACAAAATTTTAATCAAAAATAAGTAACGAACCCGCACACTATCAATACTTGCTAATTCTTAAACTTTATTAAACGCAACGTTTCGG